TTACGTGTTGATAGAAATCAACACGGAATGAAATAAGATGATTGATAGGTGTGTGGGCTGTCTTTCATTTTGACACACAGAACAATGTTATAATAAACATACATACTGTATGTTAAATGGATATATCCGCCTGCTTTCATTTATCTTTCCATTCCCACAACAATATACATAAAGAAATGGCATATTTTGGACATAGTTCGAATGGTGATTAATCATGATTAATAAATGTTTAAGCTGTGATTAATCTGATTTAAAAATTGTAATCGTTTGACAGCCCTAATAAAAACATTTGATAATCTCACAGTTATGGTTTAAGGACTTGTCATTGTCTCATCTTAGTGAACATATTTATTCAAAGTTTCCCTTAATGAAATGTAAACTGGTAAAAACAGTCTTGTCCAGAATAGCAGGAGATACATATCACACACTTAATGAAGATGATGTGTGTAACTGTAATGGATGGAGCAGGTAGAACAACGTGTCTTTGTCTATCTTCCAGGCTGTCCAGTGCCAAGCCCTCAGCGCCCGTCATCCTGGATGGGAAGAGGGAGTCTGAGGATGAGGAGGATGAAGATGAGCAATTTCTCGTGGAGGAGGCGATCCCCCCGCCTCCAGATGCTTCTGATATGGACGTGGTTAGTGACTTAAACAGTACATTGGATAAAAACACATTGGATTGCAGTAGACCCTCGTTAAACACAAGCTTTTTTCTCATGTTTATTTTTCTGCAATGTGTTACCTTTGCACTAAGACAGTCGCAGTTGGTTTGTGTCAGTGTGTTTCTATGGTAACATCGAATTTTGAGGTTTTCTAGCTGTTGTCTCTTTGGTTGTTAACTGAGCCCAATTATGCTTTTTGGTGTTTTCTCTTACCTGTCGTTTGTTTTATATAAGTTATTACTGTATGCATGTACATGGTCTCAAAGGCCCAAAGGTCCCTCCAGAGGGACAGAAAGTCTAAGTAACACTCACACTTCTATTGGCTAGTTCTCCAACACATTGTACTTGATATGTTAAGGGGCGGGACTTCTTTAGGCGGTTGACTAATCACAACAGAGCTAACCAGCTAACCAATCAGAGCAGACTGGGCTCTGGTTTCAGACAAAGGGTGAAAGGAGGTGCTGCAGCACAGGCAGTATGAGAAAATAAATAAAACCCTTTCTGAACATTAAAGGAACAAAAAATAAATATGAAACCTGAAAATGAGCATAATAGGGCCCCTTTTATGAAATGACACACGTGTAGTCAAAGATGTTTGTCTGTATTTTCGGAACTTATAAAGGATGGTTACTTACTGAATTCTTCTTTTCTATTTTAGAGGTCTGCACAAGAACTCGACAGTGAAGACAAACATGGTACGAGGCCTTGTTTGTTTTTTCCCTTTTTGTTCAGCTTATGTTAAAAGATTAAATAATGCCACATTTTCTCCTGATTTTAAGGAAACACATCTTTCCTTGTTCCTCATGTTGCTTCTCTCACTGTAGGTGGCCTTGTGAAAAAGATCCTTGAGACCAAAAAAGACTATGAAGTGTCCCCATCCTCCCCCAAAGCTAAAGAACAGGTATGTGCAAATGGTGAAGTTGTTTTTTGCTTCTCCACTAGAGGGCGGTATCAGCTTAGTTTTCTTAAACTTCCCCTTATCCATGATTCAAATTTCAACCTCCTCATCTCTTCTATCAGCCATTCTTTATTCAAGCTTTTCTCTCCCGGGCAAATTTTTTCGCCGCAGTGAAGGACCCAGCGCAACACTGGTTATTATCAAAGGAAAGATATAAACAAATGGAGCGGAGAGGTGTAATTGCACCCCCTTGCAACCACAAAAATGTCCCCCGTCAGTGAGGCTGAAGGGCTAATAACCAGACAAGCGAGCCTGGCCTCCAACAGACCACACACACCATTTGTACACACATCAAGATGTCTGGAGCTAAATTAGCTTGCTTTCTATGGGTTGCACAATATCTTATCGTTGTTGTGTTTTTATTACAGACTTCTCTGTTGTGCGTACAGATTGAGAGGAAAAGCTTTTAGAGCTATCGTGTTCTGACTAATTACACTCCTTCCCTTGTGTGTGAACTGCGGTTATTCCATAACATTTTTCTTCTGTATGTTGTCCCTTAAAGTCCTCTATCAAATCTCCAATATTAAGTTTAAGTTCCATGTAAAGTTCCGTCTTGCTTCCCTCCATCTCTTTGATTTTGTGTCCATATTAGACACTATTCACCATCTTCTCCGAGGTGACGAATTCCATCTGTCTCTCTCGCATTCCCCTCCGTCAGCTTGTTAATCACCCGTAGAGAAACGGGCGTCTTTCTTCGTTATTTGGAGTGTGAATCGGTGTGAAGCTTACAGTTTGGTCTGTAGTCCACGCTGTCTGCTTTGGGTGGTCCTCTTCACTGAAGCATACTCTCCCAGCAATCCCTTTCCTCGCTGACCACCCTGACTCTGATGGATGTTTTTGCCTGCCACTCTTGCAAAAAAAAAGAAAAGCCCAGATCCATCTCATCCTTCTGAACTCACACCTGAAAAACTGCAAAAGCTTGGCAGAAATTTGAACGCCCAGCATTTCTCTACCCTCTTCGACACTTTTATCTGTCTGAAAACTGAGCTCTTTGTGTAACACAAGCTTGTTTCCTAATTTCCCTAATGGAGGGTCCTCAGTATTCTGTATGGTCTGCTTCTTCTAACAGGTATGTCTGCACATAGGAACTGCTCAGGCCGCCCCTCCATCATTATTGGCCTTGCCTCGTCAGCTGTATAAAGAACTATAATGACTTCCTTCCTGACATGAAAGGGTGGAGAAGGTCAGCCTAATGGAGTCGTGTTTTTTTCTTTTCTTCTTGTAATCACGGTAAAAACATGCAGGGTTAAAAAATGTAAATATTAAGCTTCCTCATTCTATGTGGTATGACAGGTTTGAAATTTCAGCCGCCGCTATTCGGTTTCTCAAATGTTCAAAACACTGAGTCACATACCACCCTGATTTAAGATCCGACATCATGGCCTTAAGACCGCTTTGTCTATACTTTAAAAAGCCCATGTTATTACCCTATTTTAATTTATGTTCTTTGTCATATCTAGATTAATTTAGCTATTGTTACAGCCACTGCCTAGCTGCCCCATTGCTGTCCTCATGTAAATAAAGAGGAACTCTTAAACAGTCAAGTGATTGTATTTTGCCATGTCCCACCACAGTGTGTGTGACTGAAGAATCTGCTGTATATTTATGGGGATGCCCTTCCTCATGACCCCTAGAGCTATTGTATATTATTCCAAGATAGTTCTCTTTTTTATTTAGACTGCCCCTTGCAGCAGCTGCGTTTTCATAAGAATTTTTTGTGTACTCTGTTCCCCCTCCTTTTCTTTACCCCGTCAAATTAGCCTTGATGAAGGTTTGTAATGTATAAATAAACCCTGTGGCATACAAAAGGGGAGGCTGTTGAGTGAGAATCACGAAGGAGAAGGGCCAGAATACTCTCTGCAGGATTGTCAAGAAAATAAATACTCCTCTCTGCCGACCTCTGTGTCTTTATAAACATCCAGCGTTTTTTGTGGAAACACAAGGAAATGGCCCTGTGGCATTCCATTAGTCATTTTACTTTTGTAGAGGTCATATTGATTTGTTAGAGGAATGTATGAGGACCTGAAGCACTCGCATGTGTTATCAGACTTTGACTTTCTGATCAGAAGTCATATCTTCCAACTCTTCAAAATGGCTCTCCATGAGAATGTTTAAATGATGAGCCACCTTTTTTGTAAATCATAATGTCCATTTTTAATTTCAGTTTTTCCACGGACGTTTTCTTTACTTCACCCCGTAGCCCATGGTGGTGATCTCAGTTGTCTCCCCAAGGGGCTACGTTGACCTTGCAACAACATCCTGTAACCTCGGTGGCCGTAAGCTTTTCTCCTCACCTCACTGACTCCTAGCTATTTTTATGATCTAGCCAGACCTTTCAATGGGCTTCTATGAAAAATAGCGAGGAAGCCCATAAGCAATGCCCAGAGGCATTTCTCGCTCTAGGATTCGCTCCCTGGCTCACCTCTCGGATCTTCTACAGAAACGCAAAGTTAAAACCATTGGGATGTTTGTTCAAACTGTCAGCAGTAACCAAAAGGATTGTTCCCAGAAGCTTTAAAGTTGTTGCATGTAGTATTCTATTATCCATGGGTCTTGAAAATATAATTGTTAAAGGTGGTGATGTTTCGGGTCTTCTGGATTGGGTGTATCTGTCCAATCAGTCCGCTGCTAGTTTGCATGCAACTAGACTCTTTAGTAATTGTGCTTGTGTATAACATGATGCTCAAGGACTTTGCGATGTAAAAGGAACTTAGACCAAGTTGATGCCAAAAAATTGTCAGGTCACAAAATATTGCATACTGTCCTTCCGGGGTCCATAAAAGATAAATTTAGGACACAGTTAACTCACATTTTATCAGCACATCATGGGGAAGCACCCTATTTATTCGGCAGAAGGAAAGCTTGTTAGCATTAACTGTTTGCAGCTGGTATATCCATAGAGTTGCTTTAAGGTGCAATCATGCTCTATTCAGTGAAAATGGATTGGGCAAAGGTAAACTACAATGTTATTATAGGGTATTTAAACCTTATAATACAAAATAACAGTATGCAAACGACAGGGTGCATGCTGAAGTACATCTGAGATTTGTAATTGTTACTGACATCAGGATTTCTAGTATCATGACTTCCCTATTTTATATCGTCATTCACCACCAACTCTTCTCTCCTGTTAAAGGGGACCTTTCATGCAAAATGCACTTTTGTACGTCTTTTATACATGAATATGTGTCCCCGGTGTTCCAGGGAACTCACCAAGTGTCAGAAAACACAACCCTCTCTATTTTCCTCCTTAGCCAAATCTATAAAAAAGGGGCTGCAACGGATCTGAAAAAACCGGATCCAGATTTCAACACTTTTCTACGTCACAAAGAGGTGCTCCGCTTATTGGTCAACTCTCCACCTATCAGGGGAATTAGCCACGGCGAAACGAGGCATGGCTAAAAAATGATCTGTTTGGTATTTTGAAAAATAAGATGTATAAATATACCTTATATAGGTATGGTCATACACTATATCATTTAAATATAGCATGATAGGTCTCCTTTAAGTAGATCAGTGAGGCAAAAAACTGTACCTGTCTGTTAAAAGCCACATCTTGGTGTTTGTCATGGCTCAGAAACTGAACATCCAAAGAAAAGTGAGATCTCATTTTGAACGTGAATAAATCCTGTTTCCGTTATCTTTGTGACCGTCTTGATTATAAGAAGCTGGGGGGGCCAATTAAGTGAGATGAAATTCTTCTTTATTTGGTAACAACTAAAAGTTGAACTTACATTGATTCAACCTGATCGTGGGCAGAGCAGCTCTATCAAGAGGTTTGCACATTGGTCTATCGTCCCCCTCTTTTGTCCAGGGTGAAGTTGATTAACGCATGAAATGAAGCTTCTCTCCTTTATGATGGAAGCTAATCTCAACTAGCGTCTAAATGATTGTTATCTCAGCTAATGATACCCTAGAGGTTTCCCCACTGCTGACAGGCTTTACGCATGCACCCCATTTTTCTTGTCAAAGGAGACTGAAGAATGTCTTCCTCTTGACTCAGAAAATCTCTAAGCAGTCCATAAATCACATATTCGCACGCATTTCCTAATTAAGTTGATTAGGCATGTGATGAATGGGTGAATTCCACACTGCACTGTACCATGCAATGTTGTGATATGTCTATGAGAATTTTGTTCTGTCAAGCACAGTTTGTTGCTAAATAAAGATTACACCTCGAGCACTTTGCCGTCAAACAACATAAATGCAAACAGGATTAAATTAATCATGTGTATTGAGTCCTAAACCTGGGAATGAGTACGCACTTAAGCACTTCCGGACTCCTTTGTCTCAAAGTCAAAGGTTATTTTTGGTAAGATGCCTAAAATAAGGTCTATGGTTAACATGAACTTACAAGATTGTTACACTTTGTTCTACGTCATAAAATATTTCCGTAAATACCTGACTCGTGAATGTTTAAAGCTTTTATGTGTCTTCAGAAGGCGGATGCTAACAAGTGACTAAATAAAACCACTAAACATCATAACTAGGGATGCTCCGATCGTCTATTTTGGGGCCGATCGCCGGAATCAGTATCGGCCGATTCCGATCCGATCGAGTGGGCGGGGCCTATGGGGATCTTTGCTTCCACAAACAACAACCAACATAATTATTACATTCAAATGAAGTACATTATTCAAGTTTACGTTAACTTTGGATAATAACACGGGAGAAATGAGCAGAAGCGCTCTCTTTTCCTCTCTCCCCCTCTCTCCTAACAGCCTGTCAGTATCGTCTCATGTAGCTCACTGATCCAGTAATGAGTATGAGTGACCCGAAAGTGAAGAGTAAATATATTTATAACTAGTTAAGCTAATTCCAGAGGTAAATAAAATAGCTAAGTGTGTTAGGTCTAACTCTTAGTGTGTGTTTTGCTGAAGGATTTCTGCTTCACACACGTTGCATACCGCTATTTTATTGTCATTTTCAGACACCTTCAAATACTGCCAGACCGGTGAAGCCATTTTGGCGAGCTTGTTTGGCCGCGCACAGAGAAAAGTGTAGTGTATTTTACGTCATGCGATCGGCTCTCTTGATCTGTATTTTTAGAGAGCACCGATCGATCGGCAGACAGTGAGTATCGGCCGATATCGATCGGCGGCCGATCGATCGGAGCATCCCTAATCATAACGCCAAACGAGGTGACCGTTAGGTGTCACACATGTGAAGTTATGAGACTGTCATATTTTGAGATTAACCTGATGAACAAAATGTGAAAGTATCATAAACGTCTTTGCCACAGAGTTTATTTTCCTGCGATAATCCAAAATCCAATGGAAAAATCCCATCAGCTTATGTCGAGGAGCTCATTTCGATGCTGATTTCTGGACTGGATTACTGCACCACTATCATGTAGACATAAAAAACAATCTACCTCTCCTTCTTATTCCACCTGCTCCTTCTACATGCAACCAGAGGCTGTCTTGGCCGTTGCCTGGGGCTTCATCACTGTCTGAGATAATGGGAAAACCTTCCTCCTCTCTCCCCTCCGACTCCTCTGCGGTCACCCCGTCTAAATATTGTTCTGTGATCCGGGTGAGAAGAAACAAAACTAGGAGCACACAGGTCTCGTAGCCCCCGACAGGGACCTCCTTAAAGCTGTGATTTATATCCACCTGGACAGAGTGCACAACGAGCAGGGGTCATGTTTTCACGCCAACATTTTTTATTTTCCAACAGAAGAAAGGAAGGGGGTGAGGGGCGGAGAAGCAAAGGGACGACAAACAGAAAGAAGCCATGGGTCCTGTCTGGACCAAACCGCAGCTAGGCAGGCCGAATGAGCCGTGGAGTGTTTGTCTAGCTGCAGGGTTCACCCCAGTGGAAAGCCACCCACCTTGTTAGGGAACCGCCGGGCCGAGGCGTTTCAACCCTCACACTCTCGAAACCACCGCAAACACGTAACAAAGCGCGCGGCTGTCAGAAATGTTGTTTTGTGTAAAGACATCATGGCAAGCAGTGGCGTTTGATGTCATCCCTACAGTGTGGTCCTTTCTAGTCAAGTTTTCTAAAATTCGAATTACTCACCTTGACTTGTTTTATGAGATGGCTTGATAAGGCCACTGCTAACGTGCTAGCTATGCTAAGCACATGTGACAGATGTGTGTGTGTTGACGAGGAAGCTGTCATGTAGCTTGCACACTGTCACAATTTTGATTCCGTGCTACCCCATGAAGGCAGGTGCTCCCATCTGTGTAGCATAAATTGGACTGAGAGTTGAACTTGAAAGGGGCCATAAGTGTAGTAGTTGTTACTCAATACTGTCGTAAAATAACCCCGCTGCCAAAGCCTGTTACTAAAATAAACAAGAGCGGAGAGGCTGTGTGTGTGTGTGTGTCCACTGTATACCTCGCGTGTGTGTGTGAGCGTGTGTGTGTGGCTTTGGGGTTGCAATACTGAGTGTTTTTGCAAATACACACACACACACACACACACACACACACACACACACTCTCACTCTCAGAGGCCTTGCGAAGCCCAGCTGAGCAAACATCCTTGGATTTGCTCCCTAGCCAAGGGAGGTCCTTCCCTGATACCTTCCCCTCCTTTACGCCATCGAGTGTAATTTGGATATGGTGAACCCCCTCCAACCACACACCATACACAGGAGGCCTTCATCAACCAGCTCCCCCCTCACCCCAAACTTTGGCCAACACAATTCAGCCGTACGTTTGATCTTTATATATACAGCTAGGTTGGTAGAATTCCTGCATTTTTAGCATTGAAATCCTAAACCACTAAATGCCGCCTTGCTCTGGTTCTGGGCATTTGAGACATTTTGCTGGCAAAGGTAGAATTCCTAAAGAGGGTTTATTATGTTTTGGTCTAGGGACACACAAGTGATTTTTGTGTATGTTCATACAGCTGTTTGATTCAGCGTCTAGTTTAAACCATGCCCATTTAATGGAAACATTTGTTTCTATGCCTGCTGGTAAAATTGAATGAACTGTTCCATGTTTGCTTATCTTTCCTTTTTATTTATTTATTTAGTTTTTTTCGTTACTTATTTGGATTCACATAATATCTATATAGCAGTTTGCACAATTAACAGTTCAATATATACAGGGACCCAAAACACAAAACAGACAATAAAATGTAATAATAGAATAAATAAAAAAAAAAACTGGGTGTTTTCGGAGACAGAAAATATATTGCTTTCACTTTTTCAAAGCTTCCTCAATTTGGTTTTCCTGAAGCCTCAACTATTTAGTTTCTAAACTGAATTTTTATTTCAGTTGTATCAACTTGTTGATTAAATATTTACTTTGCCTTAATTTTTTTTCCACTTTTCCACAAGCTGTATCCACATGGTTTAGAAATAATATGAAAGGACAACAAAAAAAAATATTGCAATTATTAATAAAAGTTATAACAAAAAAGTTATAATGCTCCCTGGGATTTATTTAATGCCCATATATTTCCTTAGCTGACCGCCCCAGAAATCTCTTCCCCTAATCCTCACCTATTGTTTTTCTATCATCTCCTCTTCCAGAACGTGGTGTCTGAAGCAGCGCGGAAGAAAGAGCGGGACATCGTGTCGCGTGAGATCGAGCGGCTGCGCACCTCCATCCAGACGGTGTGCCGCAGCACTCTGCCTCTGGGGAAGATCATGGACTACATACAGGAGGACATGGACGCCATGCAGGCCGAGCTGCACACCTGGAGGCGGGAGAACAAAGAGCACGCACAGGCCCTGAAGCAGGAGCAGAGGTGGGGGTGGCACAAAACACTGGGAATATGATCTCAAACACAGCTTTATACTCACTTTATCATGCAAAGTGCTATCTTCATATTCATATAACTGATTTAAGTAATCAGTCAAGTTTAAACTTGCATATCCTCTAAGATTATAAAGTCATACATTTGTGAGAAAATTCTGAAATCCTCTGTGATTGAATTCACAAATTTAGGAGAAAATAAAGTTTTTGTCAATAAACCTCATCGCTTGACTTCAAATTTTGAAACTTTAATTCAAAGCATTCCTGATATTGTTCATTTCTTGATTTTAAAACCTCAGAGAATATTCAAGGTTTTAATTTTTGAATATTTCACGTCCAATTTTTCCTTTTCTTATAACATTGATGTAATGAATCATCCCTCCTATGTTTGTGTGTGTTTATATCTGCTACAGAGCGACAGACAGAGCTGTGGAGCCCCTTAAGTCAGAACTAGTAGAGCTGGATCAGCTGATCAGAGAGCAGCAGGACAAGATCTGTGCTGTGAGATCCAACATACTGAAGAATGAAGATAAGATTCAGAAGATGGTGACTGGAATCAACTTCTCCTCCAGAGCCTGAAGTGAGAAACAAGGTCCACTGAGTATAAGCTCTCCTAAAAACGCACTGAAGATTAGGGACCAGCAGTGTCTCATTCAGAATAATGGTAAGACCATTTTTCTCAGAGACGATGTGGGATGGGACCAAACACTGCACTTTTAAAGTTTTGTCAGAGATGGACCAGAGAAAATCAGACACCATATGTCAGATAATAAAAGCTACATATGATGGCATGGTGATCTGACTATCCTCACACGTGCGGTGACAGATCAAATAATAAAATATTTTCCTGCTTTGCACTCACACAACCATATCAGTTACGCCTTTTTTGTTATGGTGCCTTTGTGGAATGAACCAGTGCACAGTTGTTATTCAAAGGTTTTACTTCACAACAGCTACAGTGTAGTTCCCAGGCTCCTCCAACAGGGCAACATACGGTACATTATACTTAAGACATATGAAGAAAGAAACAAGAAATAGGGCAAGAAAATACTGCAGATGACTTGGAATGACAAGGAAATTAGACCAAATAAATGTAATAATGCTGGGTGAGTTCATCAAATGCCCTATATACCCCCCAAAAATGAATGAACAAATAACATGAAAGTTTGCTGGACACTTAGCAGTCTCTGGACCTAATAAAAATAAACCCTATATTCTTGTTTTTATTTATTAACCAAGCATACAATTGGGACTTAGCCACTGCTATACAAAAGAGAGACAGTGTAATTTAAAGATTAATTCCGGGTTATGAGCTCTTTCATTTGTTATTTTCCACGATCCCTAGTATTCTCGTGTCACCCTTCTTTTACTTCTAAACGTTTTGCTTCAAGCGTCCTCCCTGAAGCTACCCTTGCTAAAACAAAGATTGTATCTTCAAGTGCACCTTCAAGTCGCTTAGTGTTAAGAGTTCTTATTTCTTTCACTTTTACTTATATTATTACACACCGACACACTCATTTAATGTACTTCCAGGAGACAGTAAGAATACATACATTCTCAAATAGGAAAGCCGCCATCATGGAGGTCCCTCAGTCGTATTTGTACTGTAGGATTTGCCAAACTGTTTCTTTTTTTTGATGGAGACAGTGTTTGGTCAGATCACAACCTTTTGTGTGAACGTACAACTCTTTATAAAAATAATAATAATATTTTACTAGCTGCTTTTGTGACTTTAAGAAACATGCTTTACATATGTAGCTAAATAAAAAAACAAGCAATACTAGGCTAAATATTGCAGTAGGTCAGATGGTAAGAAACCACTGTCCCAGTTATTTTTTAATTAAAATTCCAACATCGATAGCAGATTAGTCAGCCATGATTTCTTCCAAACTGGCATACCTCACTTCCAATACAAATGCAGTAACTTATTAAAGTAATAGCACCAATATGATTGTACATTGCTGTTATTACTTGCACAAGTGCAGCTCTGTAAGATTTACTGCATATTTAGTGTTTACACACAAAAAAAACATTATGAATGTAATCTTTTATTTTTAATAATGTTTTTTATAATGAACTCTCTTTTCTGTACAAAGCTCAAACATCTTCCCAAACTCTGGTTTCCACTTCCAGCATAACAATGGATTACCAATAGGATAGATGGCAAATCTGAAAAAAATTAAACTGCATTGTTTCTGTGTGTTGCTATTAATTTAACTAATCTTATATTAGTTATTCACTAGGATAATTCCAAAGTTAAAATCTACCTTCATTTAGTCTGATTGTATTCTGTTTTCATATCAGTATTTATTTAGTCAATAATATACTGTACCAACAGAAGGCCCTTTGAGGCAAGTGAGAACCAAATAGTCCAATCCATTTTTCAATCATTTTTAGGACTGAAAAGTAGTTTTAAAAAGCTGTCAACGTTAATTTTTTATCTGTGCAAACAGTTGGGATCAACAAGTGTTTGTTTTTGTAATAACAAGGTACATTTACCTTACAGAATTGCTACCTAAGAAAACAACATGACTAATATATCATCATTTGCTTACACACAATTGTTTCTAGAGTGCCGACAGAAATTTGAACTTTTAGAAAAATAATCCTGACAAAAAAGTAATCAGCTACCTATTTTTCCACCCACCTCTTCCACAGAAGAAGAAAGCCACCTGAGGTTATTTTTTAGGGACTTGGAGAATAGAGCTATTTAAATCGTACTCAAAATATTGTCAACCAGAATTTTTCGTTTGTCACTTGCCTTTCAGGGCCTCCATACATCAAAAGTCAAATATAAAGATATCACAAAGTTGTTGAAAAGTCAAAACCTGCGTGTCTATATGTCTTGTATTAAAAGACAATGTAGACTGTAAGTACTTGTATCATATCCTCTGTTTCTCTTAATAACTGTACATTATGTATATGTGGAGATTGTATCATAGTTCAAAATATTATATAATTTTGTAGTGGAGTGAAATAAATGGTTACATTGCAATAAATATTCGTCTGCTCTTCTTGCTTGTATGAGTCATTGTAGGCTACAGTGACTGCACAAGAGTTTTAAAGAAAGGCTCAAAATCAAGTTGTTCTTATAATGCAAATTTAATGAGGGGTCTTTTTTGCTGGAGCTACATTATAAATGATAAATGACTGGTTTGTGATTATGACGAGTTCATGTGAAGTCCTTGTGGCGTCTGGCACGGCCGAGTCACACTCAAAGGGACTGATTTCTTTTGAAGCCCAGTCCAACATGACATCTGAAACATTTCCCTTTCTTTTTAAGACCCTTCAGAAACATTAGCAGTAACTTTTTCTCTGGAAAGCCGAGAAACAGCTGCAACACACACAAAGCGTATTAGCAAACCCCTTTAACAACTATTAAGCTAGATTTGGACAGATCATTTGTGACGCCAGTTGGAGATTTAGCTGAAGGCCTCTAGCAGAAGGCATGGACAAAAGATGTTGGCCTCAGTCTCAACAGGTGGATTAAGATAAGACGACACACCGAACCGTCCATCCAATGTCCATCTGCGTTTCCCTTAAACTGTGGGCTAATACAAAGAAGAAGTGACTGACTTTATTAAAAAAAGGCTCAGTTGATTCTTGCCTTTTGAATTTCACAATTGATCACGCTGCAAATGATTGACAACACCTTCCACTTTTGTTGTTATTCTGATGTTAGTTTCAATCACTTCTGCAACACATGGCCAGGGTCTGAAGATCTTCTCGAAATTCTACAAAAATTAAATTACTATTAAATGTTTATTTTTCTCGGTGTTGCAAACATTGGGATACATTTGGGGCTCTATTATGCTCATTTTCAGATTTCATATTTGCATGTTTTGCCTCTACTGTGACATGGTTCCATGCTTTAATGTTCATCAATGAAACAGCCATTTGTTTACTTCACTGGAAGTCTGTGCAGCTTGTCCACTTTTGCAGACACGTGGCAGCTTTGACCTCTATGTATTTTTAGAGCACCATTTGAAGGTTCATCTGTCACCAAGCAACATAAATCCATGGCTGCATGCCTCCCTGGTGTGCGTTACCCACCCTAAAAAAATTGACTCCCCACAATTGAACAGCGAAAAAGATTGATTGAACAACATGTTAGGCCTACATTGTGCAGGTAGCCAGATTTATTAGAGAATAATACTTTGTGTGAACAGGATTTACATTATACACAAGCTGTAGAGGTTAATTCATTGCAAGTCCTTTCGCTTTTTGGTACTGCCCTTTGACCTTTTAAAGTGTCCTTCTGGCACATGGGCTTGAATCATGAATCTACCACATATAAAAACTCATTGCAATCTGCCTCATATTTAATATACATATTTTGGATTGTCCTCTAAAACCCTCCCCTAAATTATTCTAAATTCCAATTTGTTTCATCACAGTCAGTTTTGAAGTTGCATTAACAGCTTATCCTCTTCAGTAAGTTATTAGCCTTCTACAAAACAACCACAATATGTCTATTTTTTTAGAATGTAAAATGAACACATAACATTATAATACAAATAATAAATGTAAACTAAATACATGAATGACATGTTCTTTCCCTAATATTTGGCATTGGGCTTTAATTACGGCTTATTTTATATTTATGTTTGGAAAATAAAATTGGAAAGATAATTGTACATGTATCATGGGAAATATTGCTTTAATAAAACGATCATTGTTTAGAGCACTTTGAATTATTTATGTACAATTATTCAATTTAACATTTCTAAATAATTTGTATACGTTTTATAAGGAGTTAAGAATAGTTTATTTATAGATAAGAACCTCCCTGTTAATAAAAGTGACACTTCCCCTTTAAATCCGCGCAGCTGAGCGCAGTCAGGAAGTTGAGCATTGACGTCACCAACACGGTCACGCTTGTGTATGTTGATGTCTGCTGCCTGACTCAGCTGGGTTTCTCGTGTTTGGTGGGAACTGGGGTCGTTCTTCTCCTGAAGCACTGGTTCCAGGGCGACGGTGAGGCTCTTCAGCAGCATGGCCGACGCTCCGGAGCCCGAAGAGCCGCCCAGCAACAACACCCCCCCCCTCATCACTGTGTCCGACCTGCCCAGTGCCACTGCTGCAGGTAACATGGCTCATGATTCATCAGTCCTCTCAGGGGGCAGGGGCCTCATGAGCATGGCAGCAATAACAGAGATGGGCTGTGGCTGGGGGTGACTCATGGTAGGTGTGGTCCATGGAGACAGTAAACACCAACTGTGTGTCTGCCAGCTCTTTGATGTTGTCATAGCGCTGCAAATGATAGAGGTAATGGATGGATTTTAACAATGTATATGGAAGACCAGTAAAAGAAAAAAATGGTATTGACACTTAGCCTTGTGATGAAAGTCTTTATAATAATACATTTTACAAAAAAATGACTTGGACAAGTAAAGTAATTAACATTTCTTACAACTAATTACTGTTTAAAAATTGTTTGTTTTTAAAAAATAACGAAATGATATTTCAAAATTATGAAGTAGTAAGAAGAAGGAGAAACTGTCTTATGTGCTGTATTAAATTTGATTTCAATGAAAAGGAAACCACCTTAACTTATTAGGTTTTTTAAAAAGATAATACATTGTAGAATACTAATTTCAGTATTTTTCCAGCAATTGAACACTTTCTGCAAATGTTATGTGTGTGTCCTCACCAGGCCGTAACCTGAAGGAATGGCTCCAGGAGCAGTTCAGCGACAAACCTCTGGAGCAGGAGGACCTGCGGCTGCACAACGCAGCCTACGTGGGAGACCTGGACACCCTGAGGAACCTGCTGCAGGAGGACAGCTTCAGACGGTGGGAGGGGCTAATAGTTGTGATATGAGTTTATTACGATTTCATTGTAAAGCCCTTTTTTTGAGTAATCGTTTTGTTAAACAAAACAAAAATGATTACTCGGAAAAAAAGGGCTTTACACAAATAAGAGATCACACAAGGATAGTCATGAGCGAAGAAACATATGCATACACTTTTAGAATATCTTGTGGATTTAGGAGAAACGTCAAAAAGGCAAGGATGAGTGGAACACATAACATATGATTACAGTATGCAGTGCACACATAGGATAGTATGATACGTTATGATCCAAAATATAAGCTTTAAAAGTATGATAATAATCCCTATAATATGAGAATGATGAACTAAGTGCAATACAAGTCAAATCTAGTATACACAGTAACACAGTGTAGACTTGATTACATCTGTCTGCATTATTGTTTTGTTTTTTTCCCACATATCTCCAATTGCTTTTATATTTCAGACTTTATAATGAAAATACACCAAAAATATACCAATTTGGAAATTCTGCATTTGACATTGCTCTTCTCTCTGCATATTTTTACTGCAAATCTGGCAGCTTTTGTCCACAAAGTAAATATGTGCCATTAAGTTGTTTGTGGTTTCTGTGTGTTGTTTTTTTTCAGTAGGCTTGCTGAGTGATAGCCTTAGAGAAACAAATGCTGAATATAATTTGGCCCTACACATCTCTACCACAAACAGTACAGCATAACACACACCATATGCTGGATACTTTTATCCCAGCCTTTAACCAAGGGTGTCCTATTTTAAATGTACGTGCATCATGTCCACAGTGGCACTAGGCGTAGTGGCCAAACAGTGGTTCTACAACTTCTGTGTCAGTCACGGGATGCAATTGGGCTCAAAAATACATTTACCATTGACTTACATTGAGAAAGACACCTGAGCGTATATATAATTTTTGGCAGGTTAATCAAATATCCAGAACGAAAACTTGAATTGCCCTTGTTTAAACCAATAGGTCCTTAAAGTTCTAAACCCATATCTAGAGTTATTTTCCCTCATCCATTAATTTGACTGAGCTGAGACCGGCTGTGATGCTGAAAATGGAGGCGAGGTTTCAGGAATACATAATTGTGCATGCTCCATTGGCACAAAGGATGCAAAAGATTGCCAGAAAATCCCTGAAAGATTTGGGTAATTTTGAAAACAAACATACCTGAGGTCAAAAACAACACAATGTCCTTTTTAACTTCATGTTGTTCACGTTGTCACGACTTTACTAAAAAACTAAAAGAAAAGACAGAAAAATCCACTGAAGTGTTGCCAGAATAACTGGAGGACACCAGTGTTGTTGACACCGCGTCTACATTTCGCCAAAACTCTATCAGTAATAAATCTAAAAGTGCTATTTTCTATGCTACAAATAGACAATTAGTTTCAATGACTTGCACTAAAGTGTCACTGAACATTAAACATCGCTTTCATGAACTTAAATAACACATTCAACATAAGAAATAACAATAAATTCACCGTTTCCAGCGCAACATCACTGTGAGGGGATTTTGATTGCCGTAACAAATGTTACTTGTTAGACGCTTTTATCCAAAGCGACTTACATACTCAATACTGTGGGCAATCCCCACAGGAGCAATTTGGGGTGAAGTGTCTTGCCCAGGGACACAACGACATGCTGACTGCAGTGGGGTTTGAACCTGTGCTCCCCTGATCCCAACACCAACGCACTGCGCCACAGACCCTAACACATCACTGGTTTATGGATACTTTGGACACAGGTTGGGAAACGTTTTAATGTTCATAGAGCCAGAGTTCATTTTGGAGTGGTCACTCAACCCCAATCCCACAGTGGTTGTGTGCAGCACTCCACACCAAGCCAACCCATTATTATGGGCTTAGGGCAGTTCATCTCCACTCCACATGGTTTACAACATGCTGTTTTTTCAATAAAACTCTTTATATTTCATTAGGTTCTCCCTGCCCAGACTATTCTAACTTGCCTGAGGCAGCAAGTAGTGTTAAAAGCACAATATTTTTGCAGGTATCTGTAAATGTTTTATTTGAGATTACCACACAGAAATGATATTTTAAAGACTTTGGCAAGTTGAGTGTTTTCAATGTGTGTGTAGTCATTGGCCTGATTTTATTCTACAAACGTTTATCAAACATTTTCAGTGCAAGCACAATGTTTTTTATTATTATGTGTGATGCATGATTATTATACCCTGTCAAAACAGGCTTACAAGTCCAAATTAATTTGAAAAAGAGACCGGAAACCAGGCTAGAAACCTAAATGACGTTCAGGCATTTATATTTAAAAAAATGTCCTATCTGTCATTGTTATTTCACCAGGACATGTCTTGATTTTGAGCAGACATTTTAATAAATATAGAGAATTAATGTAAAAGTATTTTTATGTTCCTCTTAAAACTCATCAGAAAGGACATGAAAATGTGATTCCTTCACAATTTCTTAATTTTTCTGATTTGGAAAACCTCCTTTTCTTTGTTTAAAGATCTGCAAAACTTAACATTTCATTGTCATTATTTTGCTTGATTTGAATATATGTTTGTAAATTTTACTTTTAACAAGATATTCTTTGAACCTTTTGAGAACAATTCTACAGTCTTATCATTTCAGATTTTCAATTTCTGGATCTAATCCAAATTACCCTGTACAGCCAAAGTGTTGTTCTAACCTCCATTGTCACCCTAAAGCATAATTTAAAGGGGCCCTCTTAGGCAAATGTTCAGGTTCATATTTGTATTTTGTGCCTCTGCTGTAAAACATTTTCATGCTTTCATTTTCTTAAGGTCTTTATATTTGGTTAGCTGGCCGGCTATCTTAGAGATGTCCTGACCCTTATCACGTACAATGTCTTGGAGTGCAAGCCAAGCGAAGTGTGAGTGTGATGTCGTCATTATGTTACAGAAGTAAACAAAGGAGTCCAATGCATGTTTTTCAGGCAGGGGGGTGCGGCGCGGTTGTAGGATAGAAACTCCCTCTTGAGGGTACTTTTGGATTTTAGCCTTTGCAGACCATTTACATGCACAAAAACCTATACAAAAACCTGTCCCTTCCCTCCCTTGGTGCCAGGCGTATCAATGAGAAGTCTGTGTGGTGTTGTGGCTGTCTGCCCTGCACCCCCCTGCGGATCGCAGCTACAGCGGGACACGCCGCTTGCGTGGCCTTTCTGATCTCTCAGGGAGCCAAGGTGGACCTGGTGGATGTTAAAGGTCAAACAGCCCTCTACGTTGCCGTGGTGAATGGTCACCTTGACTGTGTCCGGATCCTCCTGGAAGCCAAGGCCGATCCCAACGGGAGTCGGCATCACCGCAGCACGCCGTTGTACCACACTGCCCGGGTGGGCCGGCTGGACCTGCTGCAGGAGCTCATCAGGTGAGGCTACAGGAGGAGAAATCTAAAACCTGGCTGTGCTGAGTGTGATTTGGGGCTGGGGAAAGCAAGCACAACTATTTGTATTTAACTTTTTTACCCAGTATGCTGAGAACGGGATTTGTTTGATTTTCTCTCCTACTGCTGAGAACTGATGACTTGTGGTATTTTCTTCATTCCAAAATCCCCATCTTTGAATCTTTTCTTATCTTTTATTTGGGGGAGTTTTTGTATTGTGTGTATCTGTCTGTCTGTTTACAGCTAATCCAGCGTACTACTCAACACATCAGCTTAATAATATGTGTTTCCTGACCAAGGAATATACTGTTTATTCAGTGGATTGTTACAGGGGGAACCTTTTCATATACTATGTTGTTTGTCATTGAATTTGATTCACCGATTTATTTTGCAGTTAGTTCTTAACTTCTTTCATTTTTCCCAGAATGCACAAAACCTGGGGTTCTGAACAGACTGAAGAGACATAATTTGTCAATTGTACCCAGATATTTTTTTATCTAGACACTTACCTTGTCTGCACATTATAATGGCTGAATTTAGCATTTGTTGTAAAGTATGCCATCTGAAATATCATAATTTTCCTCTGTCCAGGTTCAATGCTGATGTGGACATGGACCACCAGCTGGGCCCCCGGCTCCTCTTAGGCGCTCGAACCCTCAACACTTTGGTGGTGTGTCCTCTCTACATCAGCTCAGCCTACCATCACCTCCCTTGTTTCCGGCTGCTGCTGAAGGCCGGCGCTCAGCCTGATTTTAACTACACAGGGCCCGTCTGCCAAGAGGCTCTGACCCGGGGCCTGGCCTCCTGCCTGCTGGACGCCGCGCTGCGACACGGCTGTGGGGAGGACTTCATCCACCTGCTGCTGAACCACGGGGCCAACCCGCACCTCGTGCCCTGGGATGGATCAGCACTGGAGGCTCCCAATCGGAGGGAGGTGGATCCGGAGGCGCTCAAGGTCTTCCTGGAGGCCAAGAGTGAGTACATTATTGTGCAGGCATCAGTGAGGTCCAATACTGCAAACAAATATATTTAAAAGCAAGGGTTTGATACAAAATGATACAGTAGGTTCTTAAGGGAAAATCGCGGCGAGTGCTGTTTCAGGATGATTGGTGCTAATCACAAGAATCATTTTAGATGAAACTAGTTTTTTACTTGATATTTTGTTTAATTAATGGGTTTTGAGTGGTGTTAAATACTTTTTTTGTCATGAGCTGTTGCCTCTACACCACCCAATAATCGCATAATATCAATACCGATAATCTTTTAAAATTTTAATAGAAATTTGAGCATATTTCATCCTGCAGGGAGTTTCCTTTAATTGGTATGTGACTTTTTGACTGGAAAATTCCCTTCTCCAACCCTCCTATCATTAAATGACTTATGTTGCTCGTATGTTAATTGGCTTGCACTAAAGTTACTTTATTTAGTGGGAATGCTGTTAACAGCATTCCAACTAACTGTTATTCTACGGACGAAATTGTTATTATTATTCCGCCGGTATTTTGGCCCTCTTCTCCTCCCGCATTGAACATCGCAGAAACTCCGTTCAAACATCAAAACGTTCAGCTCTGTCGGGATACATCCCATATTACATCACATTTTTAACATTGAAGTCAATGGAGGAAATCTTCAGACTTCAACAAATCTTCATGCGACTTCAACTGCTGCTCTAAGCGTAGTATGGGGTGTCATCAAATGCCGTTGCCATGGCGACGGACCACTCGCCATGAAACACGATGTGGCTGTAAGTCCCATCGACACGGTCCAATCGTCCCCCAATCTTCACTTGTATATCACCGGTTCCATGCTCAACAGCTCTACGCCAAATCTGAGATCTCACCATATGCCGTTCCATGGAAACGCATCCCCGCCATAAAACATTGATGTCTGCTATAAGTCCAATTGGACACGGTCCAATCGTCCCCCAATCTTCACTTGTATATCACCGGTCCATGCCTCAACAGCTCTATGCCAAATCTGAGATCTCACCATAAGCCGTTTCCATGTTTTATGGCGAGGGATGCGTATCCCTCGCCATAAAACATGATGTCGCTATAACTCCTATGAAAATGTTCAAAAAGTGCTCAAACTTCACATGTGTGCTAACAGTCCAGCCGTGAAGACATCTACGGGACAGTTTTGAGATTTCTTCAAATGCCGTTGCCATGGCAACACAATACTCGCCTTGAAACACGGTTTTCAAAAAACTTCAGTGAAAACACTCCAAACAGCCCAAAACTTCACAGGTTTGGTAACGATGCAGCCATCAACGCATCTAAGCGTATTATGGGGTGTCGTCAAATGCCGTTGCCATGGCGACAGATCATTCGCCATCAAGTTAGTTCAGAAGTTTGCAGTTCAAATATTCTGCTGCTTTTCCAAGCCTTTTTACTTTATTTTCTTCTCTCATCACACATTCAAGCACCCAGTGTTCATTTATCATTTCAATCTATATTCTTCACTTTCTTCTTACACATGACATTTCAGCATAGCAGTTTAGCGTCACATTTTCAGCATAAAGCATTCCCACTAGCAATTTCTTCAGGAATTGCATTCCCTAGTTTGATATGCTATAGTAGAAACAGGTGTAAAAATGATAAATCGCTAAATTCTATTAAACTGCTTCAGTTTCAAGGTCCTGCTATTGTGCATACTGTCGCAGCCCTTTAAACGAGCGGTGCCATTGTTAATGTTCTTATTAACACCTGTAATGCCTGCTGGGAAAAAAGACCATTATGCACATTAACAGAAGTTGTTCCAGTGTATTGCCATTTGGTTCAATGAACATAAACTCATAAGTTTCTATGGTAAATCTGTTTTTCTCAGAGTGAGATAGTTAATACTGTTAAGCATAACATGCGTCTTACCATTTATTGACCCTAACCCCAACCTTGACTGGAAACAAAAAATTTATAAAGTTTCAGATTCAGATAATCCAGTGATAATAAATCAAACTTGAATGGCATTTTGGAGAGCAGACCTCTGCCAAGGCCAACGCTGCATTCAAGTGCACACAAGATCTCTTTGGTGTGTTAATACATTTGTGTTCAATCTTTCACTTAGGTTAACATGAACCTGTCTTGTGGTTCTGCTGCAGTTGCTAAGGAGACGGACCTTTTGCTTTGTCTCTCCTCAGGATGCCCTCGCAGGCTGACACACGTGTGTCGCATCAGGATCCGCAGAACGATGGGTAAAAGTCGCCTAAAACACATACCCTTGTTACCGCTGCCACAACCCATCAAGAACTTCCTGCTTCACCAAACCTGACATCCTCTTTCACAGAGCTCCACCAACCCCAACCTTTAAAAAGCCTATTTGAATCCAACCCCCAAATAGAGCACTTTGTGAACCAAATTTGCTAATTGCATTTTATTTTCTAATAGCAAACATTTTATAATATTTTTCAAGCATTTTGAAGTTATGTAATATCTTATCTTGCTATTTTTGTTGTAAGTTATTGACTTACTTCCTAACTTATCAGAGAAGCCTTATTATGTCCTCATCTGTTTGTGTTTTAACTCCCCAAATCTCCGGTATGTGTTCCGTTCCTGCTTCAAGTAGCACTTTTCAGCTAATAGCCATAGTGAGAATGTCATTTGATGTAAAGCATGGACTTAGAATGAGCAGTATAAGGTTCTGGCATCTTAACTGAAAACACTGCTAGCAGGTGAAAAGTTTACACTTTGCTTTAAGTCACTCATGTACATGTTACCATCACGTAAACAGTCTCTGTGGATTAAATGTATTCATGATGGATAGAATAACTTTGTATGTATTTCCCAGAAAGCTGCCTTCTCCATGAGTGTTGCACCTCATGCCTTCTGTGCACCTCTGTTGCACAGCGTGTTACTCACACAAATGTCTCTTTGTGCATTTTACTTTGTATATCTTGACTTTGTTTGCATCCAATACACGTGCAATAATACCATATCCTCTACTTTATGTTTTTCATCATCTAAAACGTGTGACGGCTCACTTTCCCTGCTTCCTGTTGTATTATCCATGACTCCTTCTCCTTTCCTCTTAGCCCAATTCAAGACCTGTTGTAGTCCAAAATATCTGAGCCAGTATCAGGACCGAATCTCCTGAGTAAAGGATTGTTTAAATATAGTGGAAAAAAAATCCCCCTCATATTCATGACGGCAACATAACTCGCAGATGGTGTTGGTTTTTTTATCTAGCAAGGCTTCGTCACACTATTAGTAAATCAGCTTTTTTACAGGTGTTGTGTAATAGAAGCTTTGAATGAAGAACCAAGCGAAATCTTGTCCAAACTGAACGGGTTCACTTTATATTAATTCAACAGTTTCCAACAAGAACGGTGGAAGACGGAGAAAATGCACTCGACATACTCATATTCATTTCTATATCAAAACAGAAAGGAGCAAAAGCAGGACGCATACTTGCGCTTCAAAATAAAAGCATTTCCTGTTTTACCTTCAACATTTTACCCTTAACTTCGGTCAAGAAGCAAATAAACAAATGTTTTTACTGCCTTAAAGTGGACCTATCATGCTATATTTGAATAATATAGTGTAGGACCATACGTAAGGCATATTTATACTTTTTATTTTTCAAAATACCAAGCAGATCATGCATTTTAGCCATTCCTCATTTCCAAGGCACACAGGGGATAGGTCTTTTCTGGGCTGGATCTTTGGAGGAACAGACACCATCTACAGGCCTGCATAGTACTACAGCGTCCTCCAGCGCTTTCGAACGGCAATGTCCGTGGCTGGTCTACCTCATTTATTGGTGGAGTTGGCCCAATACCCGTAGCGCCCAGTTCTGTGACGTCATTAGAAGTGTTCAAATCTGGATCAGTCTGTATCAGATCCGTTGCGCCCTTTTTAAGAGATTTTGTATGGGAGGAATAATAGGAAGGGTTTGTGTTTTTTCTGAACTTGGGTGGTTCCCTGGGAACACCGGGGACACATATTCAGTATAAGAAGACCTACAAAGTGCATTTTTGCATGATAGGTCACCTTTAATAAAGAAGTTTAGCAACAACAATTGTCATGCCCGAAATAGTATCAACGTTAAAGTATTGGATTCCAGGTTTCCAAAAGGTGTTCGGCTGGCTCTTAAAGACCCTTCCTGAAAGTCCTGGCTGCTTCTGAAAGCGGGGAGTTGTTTGGAGATTACTCAGAATATCGCGCCCCCGCGCGCGCCGCGCCGGCTAATATGATTGGAGTGTTTTTTGTGTCCTCTTAAGCCTGTTGAACCCCATTGACGCGCGCGCCGGCCCCCGGGCGGAAAATAATCATCATCTGGCAGGAAACAGCGTCTGAGGGCTTCTTAGATGGTTGTTTTGATATGTTTAATATTGTTTGGTTATATTTGTTTGTTTTATCCATGTAACTGGGAAGAACACTCGAAGGCTAACTGATCTTTTTTATTCCTTTTTGCAAAAAAAAGCACAAAGCTAACGGCTGAGCCTCTGATTAGCTCACGATGCGAAATTGCTAAATGTGTTTTTGTTTGCACAGAAATTAACAGATATAACACCCCTTATTACTTATCGTTAAATGGCAAATCAAAACCCATCGATTAGCATCGAGAGGCACACAGAATCAGGATAGGTTCGTATATCATCACTCTATGATAAGAACTCGCGACATAATTATACAAAAACAGACACATAGCACGTGGCGCTATGTTTGTTGAAACGGTTGCATAATGTCTTACCTTCGTGTCTGATCAAAGAGTTTTCTTTAAGTGGGCGAATTGTAAATACGATAAAAGACCGCTGCTGAAGGTTAAGTCCATAGATATATCCCATGTGTCTGTGTCACTTGAAATGATTTCTGATNTTGTGTGAAAAGAAATGTAAGATGTTGTTTAATTGCTGATATATTTATGATCCACGTCACGTTTTCAGTGTTGGCGGCAGTTCCTCATGTTTGTCTAGAAGTCTTCTCATCAGGGCTCTATAAATAGAGAACTATGGCAGATATGTAATATTTAATGCAGCCGAACCGTGTATTACAATGCCGTTATGTGATAACTTTCAAAGAGAAAAGCAAGCACACTCGGAATAAAGTATTATTTTTTTAATGTTTTCGGTCTGTTTCCGGTATTTGTTAATGACGATGTGATGTGAGATGTGAGACTGGAATTGCACAGGGGAAAATAACGTATCTTTAGATGCAGATGTTGTTAAACTAATACGTTTGCGCTGTGGACCAACACTATACATTGACGGGGAAAGGGTAGCAATAAAAATAACACCATTAAACAGTTATACAACATAACAGAAATAATATCGATAGCAGCGTCCCTAGCAACCACCTTGGTAACAATGAAAACGTTCTTGGACGCAATTTCCTGAAGTAATCTTCGTAATAACTAGCAAACTAAAGATCATTTACATCCACTGCAACATAATCTGAAATAACAACTCATATTTCTCGCATCAAATGAGATAAAAACGCATTTTTTTAAACTAACTTTAAAATAGGCATTTTCCACCGAGAATAAAACGAAGTTCGGCCATGTTTTTTTTTTTCTGCAGAGAGAAATTTGAAGATCACGTGACATAGACGCCAGCCATTGGAATGAATGGTGGTAAAAAACGGGGTTGGTCAAACAGAGCAGATGGTGTAGTCCTAAACGATAGCTGGGGATTCTGGGTAGTGTAGTGTCTTCTGCCCTCCTTTACTCCGAAAAAATATTTGTTTCTCCGAATCGAAGGGGAAAAATACAAAAGCATTGCACACAATTTAAACCAATCAATGTTGTGTAATTAGTGTGTAAAAGGATAATCTGGTGTTTTTTAGTCGATGAATAATGCAGATATCACTGTAAAATCAATCGACAGTAAGGGGAATACTTACTTCCGGGTGTACAATTCTCCGTTATCCAATGGGAATGGACGCTGACATTGCCTTTAAGGGCAGCCGACACAAACGAATGCCGTGCTTCCATGAGCGTCAAATCCCGCCGCAGATGGGAATACATTGCAATCAGTTGAAAGCTATTTGCGTCCCTTTATGAAGCTGAAGGAGCCTAGGAGCGTCACAACTGCACGCCACGGGACCCTGACCAAACGTCGCTCCTGGATGATTATGGAGTGAGAGCGTGTTGGTCCATGCGTCCATTCGCAATGTCTCACACTGTCCGCTCCTCGCAGCAGAGAGTGAATACACATACTATACAGAGACGCTGTATGAGAAACCAATGTGAGTTTGGAACATTGCACAATGTAAATCTATTATAGTATACCTCAACAATGGAATTATGATCAGTAGAAATGGCCATGACGACCTTTAAGCGAAATCAACGAGGCGAACCTACGGACTTGAATGAGCCGGGCGGTGTGTCACATTTGTTTTAAAAAGGTAGCAACAAAAGCTAGAAACACGACCAACCTTAAACTGCACNTGAAACACATCCACCCCATTCCGTTTTCCAGCTGGGAACAAACACGGCAGCTGGAGATGGAGAGCCCCCACCTTCCCGACAGTTTGCAATCAAATATGCATTTGCCAAACAATGCAAACATGTTGGTGTTCCTTGCTCGAAATCTTTGAATTACAGATTTGGATATGGCCTGTTGAGGCATCTGGGTCTTTGTATGGACACTTGACTGTTGTTTTAAAAAGGAGGGTTTTTTTGCTTGTGAGACAATGTGTGCTCATATTTTTATATACGATAGATTGATACAGTAGATGGATACAGTAGATAGATAGATAGATAGATAGATAGATAGATAGATAGATAGATAGATAGATAGATAGATAGATAGATAGATAGATAGATAGATAGATAGATAGATAGAGCTCCGTTTTCCAGCCCGAGTCTATTTAATTTATTGTTTTGGTTGTGTGTGATATAATTAGTTTTCTAATTTAATTTATTTGTTTTATTTATTGTATATAATTTATATATTTGAATATTATTTCACATTTCATTTGCAATGTTGAATGTTCAATACAAAGTCCTGTTTAAAAGGATGTACTTGAATTATTATTATATATTATCATAATGTCAGTGGTCTAAAATTGTCTTACAACGGTGCCGACAATATTATCGTTTATCGCAATAATTTCCGGGAAAATGTATCGTCCAACAAAATTAATTATCGTGACAGGCCTAGTACAAATACCAAGTCATATGTAGTATTATTATGCTTTTCAAAAATTGGGATTTTTACTGCCCAGAATAATAGGTGGAGTCATAATGTTTCAGATGTAAAAAATTGAAAAAGAAAATGTACTATTTATGCTACAAAGTTAACCACCAATGAGTCAGATCTTCTCCTTGAACACTTCACTCTTACAATTCCTTCCACTCATTGCGCCCCTGATCCAATATCATCAAACATCTTGTATCTTATCATCATTAATTATGTTTTCATGTCATCAAAAACATAATTATGAAAACAAAACTGTTCAACACCTTTTTTCCTGTATTAGCGGGGTTCTTTTCATTTGACCATTATTATAACTTTTGATGAGCCTGTCGAGCAAATGTAAATAATGGATGAATGTTTTCAAATGGCTTGATTGTCACAAACCAAGACAAATATAGTGGAATAGAGTCATAAAATATTCACTTGAGTGTTGGCCTGAAAATGATTAATCTCAAAGTCATTTTTACAAGGATGCAGGTGTCCTGGTTAGAGACAATATCATTTGACAGTGAACTTTAAAACATGGACAATAAATATAATGCGTCACCTTGTCTTTCCCCTTGCTTAACCCATGCATCACAGCTAAACAATGTCCACCAGATACCATCAAGGCATTTAGGCCTCTTAAAGTTCAGCAGGGAACAGCAGCCAGTAGCCCGCAGGTCAAAGTTTCAAAGGGTTATCTCCAGAAAAAGATAACCTTCACTCTGCCCCTGACATTTCTTCTAGCATAGTATTGTACAGCAATTGTATTTTTGTGTAGTTGTAAACACCCCTGCAACCGTTCTAGTGAGCATTTCAGTCGACAAATGTAGCCACACAAACAACAAGCTTTCATCTCCAAT